GATAATTTTTAATGTTCCGTAAAATATAAAAATAAACATTTATCATGTATATATGTGTTTAGTTGTAATTACCATGAGCTTACTGCCACGTGATCCCTTAGGAGTAAGGAAACTACCTCGAATTACTTAGATATTGCTTGTCTAAGTGGTATTATTGTTTTTTGCAATGCTCAGTGATATTATGTAATAGTTCTGGTCTTAAGATGCAAAAGGTCATCGATCATTTGAAAAGGAATAAGAGTACAAATGCGGCATACATATCTACAGATCTACTCGGAATTGGATGATTTAAAATTCAACAGACAACAACGGCTCTAACACACACACACACACACACATATATATATATATATATACATTGAAACGCTTAAATATATATATATATATATATATATATATATATATATATAAAGACTTTCTGGTTTCAGTGGGTTGGAAATGCCTCAGTATAGAAAATCACTATATGTACTGGTGGGAGTTTTCTTTTATGGTTTGAATCATTCAAGTACAATCATTTTGATACAGTTTCATTAAAATATACGAGGTCTTAATTGAAATTTATTGATGCTATTTTCCTCACCTATTCTTTTTTAAGAAATTCCCCAACAGTTAATACGGGTGGGGACTATTGGAAAATAATTTCGATCCATGACAAATTTCTTATTATTCTCTCCCCCACCCCCCATACACTTAGTAATGAACAAATTTCCTGCTGAATTTTAAGCAAATCATTACTTTACCTATTTTCGTTTATAATGTAGGCAATTTCTTTTAAGAGTCAAACATATGAAATATTGAGAAAAGGTCAAATACAACCACTTATGTCGACGTGACAACCAAGGCAGAGAAGCTGCCTTTTTTCACATTTCCCCCTTTAAAACAAATATATCGCATAGTTTCTCCAAGTCTTACTTTAAGTTTCTTTAACCCTTCTAAAAATGATGTTGTTTGCTCATTGAAATATCTTCTTTCGGAAGAGTCTAGTTAAATAGGTGGAGATTTTACAAAGAAAAGTCGATCCTCAGATATGCTTTAAGAAGTAAACATTTCTTGTGATGTAACAAAAATATAAAGCAATGAGAATAATTCCCGCCACAATAACTACCATTGATAACATTACGTCTTTTAACAATTATGTGGTTGTTTAATAAACAAAGACTCAGCATTCACAACAGCGGTTAAGAATAAATGATGAAAATTAGTTTTTCATTTAACATTCTAAAATTCAATTCATTAGTATGTGAGGCCCTTTGGCTCTAGTGACAACTTTAGGGGCTGAGAATCGGGTGCAGAACGGTCATAAGAGTGATGGAAGAAAGAAAGTTTTGGTAGAAAAGATTATTTCTCTTCTAAATTCTGCCCTCCAGCGTCAAGTATTGTGTCTCGGAGCACGAAGATTCACTAATTGCCTCGTTCACGATAGTTCCAAACTCAACCCGCTTTTCAGTCCATCAGTTTCGTTGTTGTTTCAGTTTTCTTCTTAATCTTTCTTCTTTGCTTATATTGATTATTATTATTATTATTATTGTTATTATTATTATTATTATTATTATTGTTGTTGTTGTTATAATTATTATTATTATTATTTTGTTGTAAAAGTAATACCTGTCATGTTTCTAGCTTTATATATCGATGATGATTATTATTATTGCTATTGTTGTTGTTTATACTGAGTGAAATTGCCCTCCAATAGTATTAGGTGGTGTTATTATTGTTGTTGTTGTTATTATTATTATTATTATTATTATTATTATCTTTCGCTCTCCAATTTTTCATTCTTTTCATAATTTTGCTCCGCTTGTATTTGTTATTGTTGCTTTTCCTCACTTTTTACCCCCTCCCTCTATTCCTTCTTCTCAATATTTTATTACATTTATTATATTTGGATAATAAATACAGGGGGACTGGAGTTGCGATAATTTTCATATAAATTATAATTAGATGAAATCTGATAGTGTCCAAGTTCAGGAAGCAACTGCATAAAAACTAAGAAGAAGAACAACGACAGAAATGATCTTTGTTTGTCCATTAAATGTGGGGGCTCTTTCATTGACTTGTCAGTTATATAGGTTCTTCATGATAAAAAAAGCATTGCTACAACCATTTTATTGCTTGTCAATGTCTATTTCCTCCTGTACTCATTTAAAGAAAATCTATTCAAGTGATTATGTTAGTAAAACTAAACAACACTTCAACACATTAATACGCGTAAAAAAAAAACTCAACAAAAGCTCTAAAAATGTTATGACGGTTAATCGCGTAGTCATTAGAATACTCGAACTGCAAAATTAAGTTCACTCTAAAAGAGATTTTAAAAATTCATATGGAAAACCGATTTATTTTTTCCATTTTTTTTCCGTTTCTCCCATCTGCTTTTGAATTTTATTCCTTGTCTTTCCTTTTCTCCATTTTTAAATTCATTTCTTTCTTTATAATTTTTTCTTTCATTTCTTTTTCCCATCGTTTCTCTTTTCTTTCATTTCTCTTTATCTTTTGTTTTCTTCCATTTCTTTTTCTTTTTTTCTTTCACTTTTTCTATTTTCTTTTTTCTCTTTTCACGACTTATTTCTCACTTTTACTTCTTTCTTTTCACTTTTCTTCTCTCTTCCTCTGTTCCTCTCTTCTCTCTTTTCACTTCTCTTCCTCTCTTCTCTCTTTTCACTTCTCTTCCTCTCTTCCTCTCTTCTCTCTTTTCACTTCTCTTCTCTCTTCCTCTCTTCTCTCTTCCACTCTTCTCTCTTTTCACTTCTCTTCCTCTCTTCCTCTCTTCTCTATTTTCCTTCTCTTCCTCTCTTCCTCTCTTCTCTCTTTTCACTTCTCTTCCTCTCTTCTCTTCTCTCTTTTCACTTCTCTTCCTCTCTTCCTCTCTTCTCTCTTTTCCTTCTCTTCCTCTCTCCCTCTCTTCTCTCTTTTCACTTCTCTTCTCTCTTCCTCTCTTCTCTCTTTTCACTTCTCTTCCTCTGTTCCTCTCTTCTCTCTTTTCACTTCTCTTCTCTCTTCCACTCTTCTCTCTTTTCACTTCTCTTCCTCTCTTCCTCTCTTCTCTCTTTTCACTTCTCTTCCTCTCTTCCTCTCTTCTCTCTTTTCACTTCTCTTCCTCTCGTCCTCTCTTCTCTCTTTTCACTTCTCTTCCTCTCTTCCTCTCTTCTCTCTTTTCACTTCTCTTCCTCTCTTCTTCTCTTCTCTCTTTTCACTTCTCTTCCTCTCTTCTCTCTTTTCACTTCTCTTCTCTCTTCCTCTCTTCTCTATTTTCACTTCTCTTCCTCTCTTCTCTCTTTTCACTTCTCTTCTCTCTTCCTCTCTTCTCTCTTTTCACTTCTCTTCTCTCTTCCTCTCTTCTCTCTTTTCACTTCTCTTCTCTCTTCCTCTCTTCTCTTTTTCACTTCTCTTCCTCTCTTCCTCTCTTCTCTCTTTTCACTTCTCTTCCTCTCTTCCTCTCTTCTCTTTTCACTTCTCTTCCTCTCTTCCTCTCTTCTCTCTTTTCCTTCTCTTCCTCTCTTCTCTCTTTTCACTTCTCTTCTCTCTTCCTCTCTTCTCTCTTTTCACTTCTCTTCTCTCTTCCTCTCTTCTCTCTTTTCACTTCTCTTCTCTCTTCCTCTCTTCTCTCTTTTCACTTCTCTTCTCTCTTCCTCTCTTTTCACTTCTTTATTTTTCGCATATCTTTTTCCATAATTTATTATATTCATACTTTTTCCTATATTCATTTTATAATCCATGAAGAAAACAGATTAATGTCAACGTGTAGGATTGTAAAAAAGATTTTTTCTGCAATCCCTCAGTTCGTATCAAATTTAACATTTGGATTAATAAAAGTTTTTAAATATCGTAACTTGAAAGAAAATTTACTCAAGATGAAAGGTTAATTCAAATAAATAAGTGGTCCTTTTATTTTGATGTCAGGAATCTGGATATGATGTTTATTAAACCAACGATAAACCCCGCACCATACATTATTTCGAACTATTGTTTTCATCTTTCTTGATATTGATGTTATTATAAAGACAACGTTTCGACCATGTACCCTCTGGTCATCATCAGGTGTTCATTAATTGGATGACATGGGATATTTGTTGATTATTGTGATATTTTGCCAAAAATGAAATACTAAAACAAGAAATCTGTCGCGTTCTTTTCTTGATTTCATCCCCACAATCACATCGATGCTCTCTCTCTCTTTCTTTTTCTCTCTCTTTCTTTTCTCTCTCTCTCTCACTCACTCTCTCTCATACACAGACAAACAGGGAAATAAATACATAAATCTTTTCTCTAATGATATTTGAAGGCTAAGGATTGGATGGTAAATAAATGTACCTATAAGACATATCCTGATTGAAGTCTGTCTACCGCGTTTCCCGTTATGAAGGCATTCATTTTCACAGAAAACTTCAAGTAGTTAAATCTATACACGTTCAAATTGAAATTGTAACATAAAACATAAAGCCCTTAGACTATGAGTGTTTTCATGGCAAATTAAAAACTCTCAAATAAAAAAAAAACACATGTTTCACATAAGAGAGCTGACAGCAGATACTTACTGTCAGTCAATAAGAATTCAACTTATTGGAATGTGCCCGATTTAGTTTAAAATGTATATGTCATTAGAAAGAAAAAGTAAAGCCTGCGTTTTCAGTTCTTGTTGGAAAAGCAAAACTAGTTTTCAAAGCTAACCAAAAAGAAGAAACAGAAGTGACATATATCTTCTACTGTTAATCTTGCAGTTTTTAACGATTGTATTTCAATGTTTACAGGTAAATGAACATACTGGTCACTGAGAAATTGTAGGAAGATGAGAATGGGGACGGTGGGTTTGCCTTTAAAATCAGTATTCAAAATCCTAAGACTTAAATACCGACTACAAACATTCTCTCGAATATATCGTGAGACAGACTCGAAAATGAACAAACATTTATGACACTATATTTGCTAAAGCAAAAATATTTTTTCTGTATGTATTTATCTAAATCAGTGACGTGCAAGACTCGAAAGATGAAAAGGGGAAAATGATAACAAATATTACGCTTTCTCTCTATCTCTTTCTCTCTTTCTCTCCCTCTGTTTCTTTCTCTCTCTATCACTCTCTCTCTCTTTCACTCTCTCTCTCTTTCACTCTCTCTCTCTCTTTCTCTCTCTCTCTCTCTTGTCGAATCTTATATGTGCGTTTTTCTGTCTCGATAGATATAAAGATGTAACCGGCGTCCTCTTGCAAAGCTCTAAAAGAGTAAGACTCGAGGGCCAACAGATAGGAAACCCTTGCACTGAGGCAAAGACTGGTGCCTACGATATAAAATGAATTCGGGAGAAAGTTGACTAATGTGACAACTTAACGCAAGAAAGGGCGAGAGTCGGAAAGGCTAAGAAAACATTGCTGATGTTCGCCACCCCCACCTGACCTCCTTCTCTACGCCTGTTTTCCGAGGGTCACTTAAATAGTAGCCCGAAGATAACCTGCTCAATAGACGTCCATAAACATACGTGACACTTAATTTCTTTTACTTTAGCAAGTTGGTCTCAGTGCGAGTGTTGAAGCCCCTCAACTCTGATCATAGCTGGGAGCCAAATGAGACATAACCTCACTTGGCGTTATTTAACGACTAAAACTCTTCTCCCATCTCTGACCTATACTTCATCTGTACGTTCTACGGTTGCTCTTCCTTCTCTTTCTACTCTCCCTTTTTATCTAGTCATGTATCTGTTTTCTCTTACGCTTTCGTCAAGTGAGATAATGTACAGATGTGCTAGTTTTTGCTTCTTTCTCACTATAACACATATTTAACAATTACTTTCTCGCCTGTCTTTATCTCGACGTAAATCGTACTTTGTCTCTACGACTCGTTTCTACCTAAATATTGATGATACTCTCTGTGCACCACTTTTTTTAAAAAATGGATACATTATTTCTGCTTTTCAAATCATCTCTTTACCTTATTCCCTGATAATTTCGGATTTTTTACATTTCTTTCTTCATCACCGATTTGTTTTGCTTCTATACTTTTTCCAACTAATTTCATATTGACTTCTTCTCCATATATATATATATATATATATATATATATATATATATATATATATATATATATATATTATTATTTACTTACCCACGGATTTTTTTTGCCTATATATATATATATATATATATATATATATATATATATATACAGGTAAAAAAATCCGTGGGTAAGTAATCCAAGTAGATCCTATTCATATAAAATATTAAAACTGATCTACAAAAGAGAGCTCAATATAATTTTTATTATAGAATTATGAATTACCTCATACAGATGATCATTTCGTCCATGGGAAAGTAGTTTTCCTGGACTTATCAATGCAAATACATTTACTAAAATGAATAAAATCTTACGTTTCTTCACAGGAAATTTGAAAGGCAAAGGAAGGAAAGAAGGGAAAAAAAGGAAAGAATAAAAGGAGAAGGAATAAGAATTGGCCTATGATAGAAGGAGGGAGTTATATAGATATAGTGAGGTAAGGGGCCTAAAATGGTTGTGGTGGTGGAGTTGGGTCCTGGTAAACGCCACGGTTGAAAATGGACACCGACATAAATGTTACCTATCAGCAACTGTGCAAGGAAGAAAAATGAACAAAAAAGCCATAAAATATTTTAGAGAGGAGATTCAAAATTATTATAAACTTATAATAAACTTAAAAGAATTTAAACTTAATACTTTTATAAAAAGATTTTAATATTAATCCATTCAATCCTACATCTTTAACTGTACAGTAAATTTACAGTAAAAAAATTTAAGTAAATTATTAATATATTAATTCCATTTAAATATAATCAATCACATTATATCAATATAATATTAATAAATTTTCAAATACTAAGTTTATAATTTAAATTATATCAATTATTATTTAAAAATTCCGTAAAGGATTAATTCTAAATTCAGTAAATAAAAAATTAGTATTATAAAAACAATTAAATATAGAAGAAAATTCCACGTATAGAAAACATGTAAGAGGAAGAGAAATATTTAAATATAAAAAGAAAATCCAAATCTCAAAAACAATTTCACATATAGAATAATTTTACATATAGGGAAGATGTCACAATATTTAAAATGAACACTGACATAAATGAACATAAATATATATATATATATATATATATATATATATATATATAATATAATATATATATATATATATATATATATATATATATATATATATATATATATAGAGAGAGAGAGAGAGAGAGAGAGAGAGTGTGCGTTAAAAATCGTCGCTATTTTAGATTTTAATTTCGCGCATTATTTACGAGTTCAAATAACCTGTGTCCCTGATAAAACCGAACCCGTAAATAATTACATTGGTCACACTACTACATGTCTATCCAGACGACTTACGTTTCTCCTGTCCAACCACAGCTCTATCAGAATCCATTTAAACACGCACACACAAACTTATAAGAATCCATTCGAAACATACTAGTAGAAAATACAAGCATAATAACCTCATCCACGTGTAACAAAAGATTAAAAATAATGGAAGCCTTAATAATAATAATAAAAAAGAAAAAGCCGACACTCAATAATATTAACTATGAACACGGCCACAATGTGCTGACTGTATTCAGAAAATAAAACGTCCCTACAATTCTAGAAACATACACAGAAACCCATACTTCCAGTTAAAAAGTAAAAATAATAGTAATAATAATTATCCTTAATAATGGCTAAAAGTATAGCCGAAAGCACTCGGAATTACAGAATATTTTAACAGTTTCTACATGTTGTTTCCCGATTATAAAACACTTGTTCGAATACAAGAAAAATTAAATAAAAAGCTTAATCTCAGTACCTTGTTTTTCGTCTTTAATGAAACATGTCTAAATGAGGGATTACTGCCTGAATACGCAATATATATATATATATTTACTTTTTCCTCATGTCTGATCTAAGTCTATATTCTTACTACTTATATATAAGAACTAGCATAGTAGCTATAAAATAACTAGATTATTTAAGGATGGATCAACAATAGGAGTATCTGTGCACTATTTTGAGGATCAAAGTGTCGCTTCACTGCATTTCTACTTAGGACCAGTGTACACACACATACACACACACACACACACACACACACTATATATATATATATATATATATATATATATATATATATATTGTTAATGACAATTGACAGTTTCATAAGCTCGAGAATTTCTATCCGTGATGAATTTCCTTTTTTTTCTTTTCTCTCTTTCCTGAGGACGATGCATTAGAACTTCCATTAAAGTGTCCCACTTCGAATTAGTGATCTCTTCTAAGCTCTTATATTCTTGACTGTATCAGCAAATATTTGCTTGCAAACTGAGTTGTCCTGGAATTGCTTTGGATTTCTTTAATTTTCGTACTTTTTATAAGTTTCCATCGGACTAGAAGGTAGTCTCTTCTACAATCGGTGCCTAAATAAGTTTTAGATTGTAGAACTGCATTCTTGAATCATTTATTGATTGTTTTGCAAGCTTTCTAGTTCTTTGTTACTTCACATAAAATCCCTTGGAACTTTGAGAATAAAACAAATCACTTAACCTAGTCCGGATCTGGTAATCATTTATCGAAAACAAAAAGAGCTTACCGAATATTCCTCTCTTCTGGCAGATCACAAAGTAGATTTGAAAAGACACTGAAAAGAAAGATAAGTATATTGAACTTGACAGATAACCGAGAATGTTGGAGTATTATTAAGGTGACAGTCGTACCAGTGGTTATCGGAAAGCTAGGAACGTTCTCGAAGAACATAAGAAAAACAAGTGAATTGGAAAACAAGGGGAGAGTTAGAAACATCCAGACGATAACATTATTGAAAACAAACAGAATATTAAAGACAGTGCTGAAGTATTGAAGAGACTTGCTGTCACGTAATTTCCAATATAATCTCCCAAGGATACACAATGACAGATAATAAAGATGATGATAATAATATGCTACGCCAAGCATAATTATGATAGCTATGATCTTAACTGATCGGACACGTTGACATGTTTTGTCTTGGTAAATTAAGATGGGCAACAGAAAAAAAATCCCATTCAGTACCGTAGATTTGCTTATCAGTTGCCTGACGTTAACCAGTTGAGCGTGTCTGGTGGCTGATGTACTGTGCATCTTTGTTTATGGGTGGTTGCAGTGGCAGAACATAATGGGCCAGGTGTCTAGAGTCGGGAGTCGACTTTGGGGTCAAATTTCATATTTGGAAACAACTCTCATTCGGAAATTGTTTGAGCGGATTGGGTCACCCAACGTGAAGGCCGACCTGCAAGGTTTATGCACTACTTTTACCGAAACCTATCGCGCCTATTTCGCTTTGATACGTGTCCCTGGTATAGCCTTTATTAGACATGACGTGCATAAGAGAGTTTCGTATATTTGTACTCCAGACTCAATTTGTTGACGTGTTGTACTCTTGCTCAATAATAATAATAATAATAATAATAATAATAATAATACATGCTTACGACCAAATCACGTTGAAACACCAGTTCCCGTACGATCACCATAGTTAAGCAATGTTAAGTCTGCTCAATACCTAGATGAGTGACCGCTTGAGGATACCAGGCGCCGTAAGTTTGGATGTGCAGGTGATGTAATGGATAACGACCCGGAATTATTCATTGAAGAGCCGAGTTCCAATTCTAGTCAGGTTCGTTATATTCACTTACGCGCAAATACCGTTGGGAAAGGCATGAATCGGCCTCTTCCCCCAAACTATGAGTAATTAGTAAGACTTGTATCGCTAAATCATTATCTCTAAAAATAATTCTTACAATGTAAAAACAAAAAAATATAGTTTTAAATAACATTCAAAGGGTTGATAAGCCGTAAAAAACAAATCAGTCAATCAGTCAAGAATAATAATCCGAAATGTTGGAGGAGAATTTGGAATTATTAAATATGCAGAATATCAGAGCATTGACGATGCGTAGAGACCTCATAAAACTACTAATAACTACAGCAGTTAATAATGGCTACAAAAGAAATGACGAACCTATCACCGAGGATAAAATCTGTAATGAAAACAATAATAGTGACATTAAGTATAGAGCGAAGATGGCAATGATAATGATGTTGATGGCGATGTTGATGGCGATGTTGACAGTTGTTGGGAAAGTGACACTTTGCCCTCTTCTTTCTATTTTCTTTTTGTCTTTTTCTTTCTCACTCAACTGCCTCTTGCTCATCTCCAACGAATGAATTTATGCAGTGCGATCGAAGCCAATTCATTATAAGAGTTGAATCACGGCATTTCCAAAATGCACACACAGAGAGAGAATACATCACAGCCGGCGGGCAGAGCAAGTTTGAAGCCTTACGCCTAAAGTAGCTTCGAGCAAAATGATACAACTCTCTTTTACTGAAGGGACCATGGAAAGGAAGGGCATTACTAGTAACCGCGTATGAGTCGAGCAATGGGTAATAAGGCCACAGTGGCAGCGCGTCGAGATTTTATGGATTTTTTTTTCTTTGCGCCTCTATTGCGCAGAGGTTTGTATGATAACATAAAAATGCGTATGCGTTTCTGTAGACGTGTGTTTGTGCACTTATAAAATGTGTAAACGTGTGTTTATAAATGTGTATGTCTGTGTGCAGTTTATTTGGGGTATGAATATCCATATAGAATGTTTATATAAAACAGGAACCTGCTTAGATAGATTTTACAAGGATGCAAATATGCAAACTATAACAATCATTAATTTTATAGAATGACCGTATTCATTCATTGTCTAAAACTCAAGCCAACAGTAAACAACGAAGTACAGTTTTAAAATTATATTTTCGTATGTATGGGAATTGTGTGTGTTTCGATGTATATTTGAATTCACAACCTATGTCAGTTGTAGTCTGTGTGTGTGTGTGCATGTGTGTGTGTGTGTGTGGATATTTGTATATATACAGTGTAAATGTGTGACATTTTCAAAACGTATATTGTCGGTTCAGTTGCGTTGGTTACTATGAAAGTGTACATATAGTGAATATAAATATTTATCTGCAGTAATATATCTTGTCGTTAAAGAGTCGTAAGAATATGATTATAAGTGTACGTGGTGTTAGTGGGTTTAAAAAGCAGGGAGATAATTAGAGAGATAGAGAGGATTTGCCTTCTCTGCGCATGCCAACTACGGCGAAATGAATCCATTTTAAATATGGCCAGTTACAGATTTCTCTGTATTTCGAATTAGCAGTTTAATAAATGTGAACTGATATAAAAATATAAGTAGGCCTTCGTTTAGAAATACAACGCTTTGTTTGGTCAAAATTCAGTCCTCTGATGGTGAGACTGGAGTGACATCACCCGAGTGCAGGCGATAGTGTATGGAGGTCGTCTGCTGCACCCGAGTATATATAGGTCCATCTTGACCGTAACGACAGGATCCAAAAGAATACATTACATTATATTTGGAACCGGTTTGGCTGCAGGAATTACCGGAAAATGTTACCAGTGTTGACAGCCAAATGTCTTCGGGACTCCCTCGGAGTTTTCTGTCTGCATTTACTTCCATAGCCTTTTCCGCGATTGGATATGACCGCAATTCAGCGGAAGTTTAAAATCAAGGTTTTTCTTCCTCTAGATGGACTGTCTTCATCGGTTATCGTTCTCCATTTAACCGAAGGTAGAGTTAAATGTTTATTTATCATTTTAGAATATGAATGTTTATTAATGGTATACATATTGGAAACGACTCAATTTACTACGAAAGCGTAAGAGAAACAATCGCCCATTCTTCACGGAACCTCGCATTCTGCGTAGGAACGCTGAAGATATGTGATTGCTGGTTAATTCGAAGATGAAATGTGCCAGTGTCAAATTAACATTGGAAGTAGAAATTCCACTTTTAACTATGTATCACGTGACCGTACAATTCTTTTCTTTAAAGAAAGACATGTATGGTGTAACTAAGAGGTCTACATGAGTCATTAGAAAGATATTTGTGGTTTATGGTGAAGTTGAGGCATCTCCGTTGTTAAGCAGTAGATAAAGGGGATTTTAACGGAACGGGCTGAACAACAGAAGCACAATACATTAATTACGCGTGTTCTGATTGGATCACAACAAGTATACATTCGGCAAATCAAATAGCCAACTGACTCTTCGGAAGTTTGGCTTGTTTTTCTCTTTCTAGATGAGTTCTGCTTTGTTCAATTTTCAAACTCCAAACTTGTATGAGTCTGGAGATTGTCTAACCAAGAATTTTGTTCCAAGCGTCTATAGTTCATCAAAAATGGTGGATTTTCACTTATGATTTCAGAATCTATATATGTGCGTATGTGTATATGTGAATATGTGCGTATATAAATGTAAATACGTATTTTATATTTATATTTTTATAGTCTTACCTGGACTATATGAATATCAACACAATTAAAAATAATGTAGATGTTTATACATATTTTGATGCAATGAAGTACATGTCCATCAATGCACTTTTGAGTTTATGGATGCAAATACATGTCTGCATGCATATGTGTCTTCTGTAAGAAATATTTACTTATATTCGTATTTATGTTTAATTTCTGGGTGTGTTTATAATCATTTATTCTTGTTCAGAGAAAAGCGTGTATCTTTGCAGCTGTGTAACTTGAGAAGAATCGATGGCCAGTTTCGTAGCCTCTGTTTTCGAGTGTATTTCTTCTATCGGCCCCAAACATCGTCTAAATGCTTATTTGAATGAGAGCTGTCGTGTCGACACGTATGCGCATGCGTATTTCTAGCAGTATAACTTCTTGGTCTCGCTCTTTGCCCGCAAAATGCTCGGAGGCAGAGAATTCTAGTGGTTCATGATTGAGAGACGGGGTGGGTTTGAAGAGTGAATCGGCAGTAAGAGCACTAGGGAAGATGTCATAGGATGGCTGCTTCATAGAGGCGTCATTGATGAGGTGATGAATAGCGCTGTCCATGTTTCAATGTGATCTCTGGAGATCTCTGGCGTGGAAAAAAGATAAATTGATATCAATATAAGAGCATATTCATTTACATATGAAAACACACACCTACTAATGTACTCAAATGAATACAAACCACCCTCTCTCTCTCTCTCTCTCTCTATATATATATATATATATATATATATATATATATATACAAATAATAAGGAAGAACAGTCAAATTTATAATCCAGAGTTCTTTAGCAATTATTTTTTAAAAACAGTGCTCGATACAAAGTAGGGCAATTAAAAAAAAAAAAATATATATATATATATATATATATATATGTGTGTGTGTGTGTGTGTGTGTGTGTGTGTGTGACATGTGTGAAAAATTTCAGCCGAAAGCGATCAGAAAATATATTTACATACAATATAAATATATTTTACCGAGTGCTGTTGGTTTATACCTTAGCCATTTCCAAATAGGGTCGCTGAATTTTCATGCGTACAAACGGAGCCAAAATGCATTCGTAATAACTTCATAAAGAAGGAAATTACGAATAAAAAAATGCCTCTTATACAACACAATATAGGAAACAAAGATATATTAACAAGCCTCAAGAAATAAACCCAACTTGAAAATGGTTAAAATATTAGTCGAAATCTCGCGGGAAAATAAACACTATGGGCACTTTTTTAGACACTCAGTTTTCCTAAAAGAAACTGTATAAGAACACCAGAAAATGGAATAAAAAAAACTTATAAGATATTCCTTTAGCGAAACATGATGCATAAAAGAAATATTGCTGCTAATATATACAATATGTGTGTGTGTGTGTGTGTCTGTGGAAAAGAGGGAAACAAAAATTAGGGCCCACATAAGTCACATCCAGGTCAAAGGTAGTAGAAGAATCCTCTGAAATACCTGCCCGTTCAAAACACACACACACACACACACACACACACACACACACACACACAAACAAACAAACAGGCACTTATGTTCATATGTACATAACCAACGCACAAATATATTTAATGTTGTAATGTTTGGGATTTTTGCTACAAAATATCGAAGTAGTCATTATGTTCACTTATAAATCCTATAAAAGAGGAAAAGACATAAAACTTCGTATTACATTAAAACAAATTAACTTTGAGAATACGCAACAGGGATATATTAAAATCGCTTAAGGTGTGAAACTGACAGTCACTATGCAGTGTTAATTTCAAACTTCATCTTAAATAACTATAAACTCTCCATCCTGATACTGTGCACTATTCAATCAATATAGCACACACACACACACACACACACACACACACACACACACACACATATATATATATATATATATATATATATATATATATATATATACATTTGCATACGTGGATTATCCTAGTTTTATATACCACACACACACACAGACACACATATCTACCCTATCTATCTATGTATATATATATATATATATATATATATATATAATTGCAGTTGGCATGAAATTCGGAGGAACGGTTATAGATTGGAGTTCATGGACGTATTCTTGATATATATATATATATATATATATATATATATATATATATATATATATATGTATGTGTGTGTGTGTGTGTGGTACGTGTAGGGTGTCGTGATCATTATTCCCTTTTCTTCGTTTTTTTTTTCACTTTACACTCACTCATTTAGCCTT